TTCTTCCAATGTAGGTGCTTCTACTATTTCTACTCCTCAAAATGAACAGTCTCATAAACAGTCTTTGAGTATGTCTTACAAAAAGACTTTTTTTCTCAAACCTAAATCTATTCCTAAACTTTCCAAAGGTTATGACAGAAATACACAACAACAATTAATTAAAGATTATGATATGCCCTCACCCAGAAATGGTTGTGGATTAAACTTAAACAACAATAATGATTTGACATTACAATCAATTGCAGACCTAATAAAAATTCTCATTAACACTTTATCACAGTCAAATATTCTTTCACCGTCCAACGCTGCTCCTTTAATTGACACTATTGTTAGCTTACCAAATTATATTAATAATGGACAAGCAAGCCAAAGCTCTACAGTGGAACTGTAGAAGTGCTTCGTCTAAGAAAAGTGATATTATTTATCTTATAAATAAATATAAACCTTTTATCTTCGCTCTACAGGAAACCTGGTTAAAACCAGGTGCTCCTTGTAGGTACTCAGGCTATGCCTGTCTCCGTGAGGATCGTATTGACGGGTATGGCGGAGTTGCCTTACTAGTCAAACATCATCTTCCTTTTTCTCACTTTCCTATTCCTTCTCATAGTAATGATTTTTCAATTATTGCTGCTATTGTTAATAATATCTGCTATGTTTCAATATATATTCCTCATCCTAGTTCTTCTATCTTTGTTGAAATTGACTCTATCATTTCTACTCTTCCTAAGCCTTTTATCTTATTAGGCGACTTTAACAGTCAACATAATTCTTGGGGCAGTTCAACAACCAATACATACGGAGTTTCATTGATGGAACTGTTAAACTCTCATAATCGTTGCTTTCTTAACGATGGTTCTGTGACCAGCGGACCTCTCCCAATGAAGGCTCAAGTGTCCCTGATTTAAGCATTTGTACTCCTAGTTTAGCTTCCACTATTTCATGGTCTACACTTTCTTCTTCATATGGTAGTGACCACTTCCCTTTACTTCTTAGATTTCCTTTTCACATTAATTTTACATTTAGACATTCACCTAGATTAAAACATCGACTTAATAATGCTGATTGGGATACCTTTAAATCCCGTATAGAACAAAAGATGACTTCCCTTCCTAATATCTCACATGGTTCAGAATCAATTTGTGCTGATGCATTAACTAAATTATTTATAGAAGTAGCAGACAAAACCTTTCCGCTTAAAAATGGTGCTCTGGGCTTTATTCCATCTCCACCTTGGTGGGATCAAGAATGTTCAGATGCAATTAAAAAAAGAAAACAAGTTGAGCTCCAATATTGTGACAATTGTACATCTGAAAATTTTGATCTGGTTACAGATGCTTTCAAGGCCACTAGTTTATTATTCAAAAGAAAAAAACAGATAGCTGGAAATCTTTTTGTCTCTCCATCTCCCCTAATGTCCATCCTTCTGTGGTATGGCGTAATATTAGAAGATTCAGGTGTGCATTTACTGAAACTTCTGGTTCTCTCCCCGATTCATTAACAAATCAATTCCTCGACAGACTTGCTCCTACTACAGTTCCTGAAACAATAATTATATCTCTGATGCCATTGAACCCCTCTGGTCTCAATAGTCCATTTTCTATGTATGAAATTAAAGGAATACTATCTTCAGTTATAGACTCTGCTCCTGGTGACGATGGAATCCCATATTCCTTCATCTCTCATTTAGGTGACCAAACTCTTGAATATTTCCTGAAATTGATAAATACACTTATGTTAACCGGTTCTATCCCTCCACGCTGGAAAAACCAGATCATTATACCAATTCTAAAATCTAATAAAAATCCCTCTAACGCAAATTCATATCGTCCTATTGCATTATCCTCGGTCTTGATAAAACTCTGTGAACATTTAGTGAAAACTCGTCTTGAATGGTTTGTAGAAAGCAATAAATTACTTTGTGACAGTCAATTTGGTTTCCGTCGAGGGAAGAGTACGATGGACAGTATTGCCATCTTTATAACTGACATTTTTTTAGCATTTTCAAGGAACGATTCTGTTGTTGCCACATTTTTAGATGTACAATCCGCTTATGACAATGTAGTGTTGTCAGTTCTTCATAAAAAGCTACAGTATTTGAATGTACCTGTAATGTTATCAAATTTTATCATAAATACTTTATACGAAAGACACATCACTCTAATTTCACAAGACTCCACTGTTGTAACCAGAACCTTATGGAGAGGTCTTCCTCAAGGATCAGTCTTAAGTCCCATCTTATATAATATTTATACCCATGATTTGAAAGCTTCTTTGGGTAATCGGATTTGTATTCTCCAGTATGCTGATGACCTTTTAATTTATTCCATTCATCAATCACCGGCCATTGCTTGCTCATTACTGTCTCATTCTCTTAATTTATTAAAAACTTGGCTTGATACTAATGGCCTTGAAATATCCCCCCACTAAAAGTGTTGCCATGCTTTTTTCTAGAATGCGTCTCCCTCCTCCAATCAACGTGTATTTTGATAATAATATTATCCCTGTTAAAAACTCTGTTAAGTTCCTTGGTGTGTTTTTAGATTCTAAGCTCTCTGGTGTAAATCATTGTGACTACATTTTTAATAGGTGTGAGCGAAACCTGAACATTCTTAGATGTTTATCCGGTGTATGGTGGGGTGCCCATCCCTTTTGTATGAAACTCATGTACAATGCTTTAATCCGAAGTATTTTAGACTATGGTACCTTTTTATTATCTCCTGGAAATGCAACCCGTTTAAAAAAATTAGATAATATACAGTCTAAGGCATTAAGATTAATCACAGGAGCTATGAAAACTAGTCCAATTAATGCTTTACAAGTAGAATGTGTTGAAGCCCCATTACATCTTAGACGACAATATTTATCTGATAAATTCATATTTCGCTCCCTTCAATATGCCAACCATCCTCTCCGTTCTAAGCTGCAAGAACTATCTCAATTGTTGACATCTTCCAAGTACTGGTCAAATAAATCTTCACCTTGTCTCATCGTCAGCTTCAATAAATTTATCAATATTCAAGCTCCAACTCATACCTTACCAACTTACCCTTTATTTGGAACCAACTTTGAATCTCTAATTATTTCTCCAGACATTAGATTCAATATTGGTATAAACAAGGGCGATTCCCACGCAAGGATTACTTTTAATTATTTCTGTGAACAACACTGCCATGAGTACAATTACATATTTACAGATGCCTCTAAACACGGTTCGTCTGGTAATGTAGGCATAGGAGTATTTCACTTACAAAGTAAAACTACAATAAAAATAATGTTTCCTCCAGAGTCCTCAATCTTCACAGGGGAATGTTACGGTATCTTTAAAGCTTTAAAATTAGTTTTGAGTAAGAAACTTAAGAAATCCATCATATTCACAGATTCACTTAGTGCTCTTCAAGCTCTCCAAAAATATCCATTAAAAAACAAATTAATTTTTCCTATCATTATTGAGATTAGGAGTTTGTTGTATGAATGTGAGCAATTGGGGTTGTCTGTGTCATTTGGTTGGATACCTGGACATTCTGGTATTTTTGGTAACGACATAGCAGACCAACTAGCAAATGAAGCTGTTAAGGATGGCGATTCTAACTCGTATAAAAATTATTATCATGATATGGCCTCACTTCCTGCTTCTGTTCTGCTTTCATCTTTAAATAATAATATATATAAAAAGTTATGTTTATTTCTTACTCTAAATAATATAAAATTATAAATACATACATATGTATACAAATCGTATTTTGTATGATATATATTTTATTAATTACTGTTCCTTTCCATAATGTAGTATTTTGTATTAGAGATAGTTTTATATCCTGCTGATCCTATCCTTTATCGATGTAATGTTCATTCGGTGTAAAATTATTTTTCTTTACTATTCCGTTTTCCTTACCTTTGTCTGTGGCAATACGCTCTGCGTGAGGCTATTTAAAAAAAAAAAAAAAAAAAACTGGCATAAAGTTAAAACTATTGGCATAATATAAAAAAAACATAAAAGATACATGAGCCAGGGCTGCCAGATGTACGATTTAAATCGTACTCCTACGATTTTTTGTCATTTTTACTCATGTACGATTGCTAGACCAAGATCGTACAGAAAATGTACGATTTTTCTGTACCTGGCAACATTTCGTAATGAAACGAATATACTCCACCGGCAAGTATTATGTTCGGGGAATTCGCCAACAACCAAACGTATGCCTAGATCTTTTATTGAATGTAAACCCTTTACGCTGAAAGACCCTTTTTTCATAAAAAGTCTATATTTGTGTGCATTGTTACAAAACTTATACTCTTGTAAAGACTTGTATTTTAATAGTCAAAAACCTGTTTTTCTCATGAGTCTCGAGCTCTAGCCTCTAAGTGATTATATTATCCTCTTTTGATCTTCATATTGTCTTACACGCGCTTTCGTTACGAAATTACGCTAACGAAAAAAATGGAGAAAGATCATTTTGATACGGATTTCTTTATGAGTATCATAAAGTTTTAAGTAAACGTAATTCTAACGCTCGTCGAGCGCCTGCAAAGCGCGATGTATGTATGCTACTAACGCGGGTCCAACGCAACGCCCAATGTGTAGTGTGTACAGTCGCTATTTAAGTCATTATTTTCATGTTATATGCATTATCTATATAGTATATAATGGGGCCTTAGTCAAGATGCCTTAACAGTAGTGTATGTAGAAAGTCGAAAACTTAATTTGTATGGAAATGACAGTTCGTGTCGAAAAGTTTTCATACAAATTTAGTTTTTGACGTTCTACATACACTACTGTTAAGGCATCTTGACTAAGGCCCCTGATATCCACTGTGGATTTATCAATAATATTTTATTTTTATATCATGTATAATCGACCAAAGCGAAATTTTTTTAAGAATAAGTTCTTGACAGCAGTGGATTAGGTATTATTTAATAATAATAATTAAATACCTAGTTATTTTACACTGCACGTCATAATCGACATTAAAAAAGGATTTTCAGTCTAAATTGCTAGGAAGATGGATCCCGTAAGAACCGAAGTTAGGTTTAATCAAAATGTAATTGAAAGAGTTATATTAGAACTTGGTAAGTTTAAAGTTTGAGTAAATATTATTCATAATTTGTTTCTCACTTCATCAACATAAGAGTTCCAGTGTCAATAAATTATTAAAAATTAATGTGATTTACATAATATGTGTTTGACAACTAGACGTAATGTTACGAAAATTGTCCTTAAGTTCTAAGTGTATATAATTTGGGCTTACATTTAATACCAAAATAAATAAACACGATTTAGTATTCATTGCAATAACTTGATTTAATATTGATAATCAAACAATGTTTTTGTTAAACAGCTGATGCATTTGATATCAAAATAGTATGGGATGGTGAGACAGCACTCTTAAGTGGAGTAATGGCCTTGGCAGGTGGTCTGCTTGGTGGTTATGCAGGAGGCAGGATGGGAGCAGCTCTGGGAGTTGGTATAGGAGGTGCAGTAGGTGTTGGAGCCTCAAGTAAATAAATACTATTGTTTAGTCATGAAATTGTAGTTATCAAATTATTGTTTTTACTTTTTTCATGGATAATCACCATGCAGTATGCAATAATAATGCAAATACTGCTTTTGGTTCCAATAGTTATACTTACAATTCTTCATCTAGATAATACAGTCAAAACCGTTTATAACGACATCGTTTACAACGACCTATCGGTTGTTACAACCAGATTGCATGGTCCCGTCCGAATCCCTAGTAAACTATTCAGTAAAGAAACCGCTTATAACAACATCGGATACAGCGACATATCGCTTACAACGACGAAAGTTTATCGATATTCATCGGATATAACGACCAACCGCTTCTTGTCTCAGTAAAACAAAACAATACAAACGATTTTAAATTTTATTTATAAGCATTGAATGAATATTTAGGCATATTATTACCTACGCACTTTCTCCCAACGAACAGTTTCAGCCAACAACGATTTCCGAGGCTCTAAACGCTGTAACGATTTTGCAAAAAATTGTTGCCTTTAACGAACAGTTTGATACTGGTGATACTCATACCTTGAGGAGTATGAAACGTAAAATGCTAAAAATATTTGAGGCTGGGCTAAAAAAAAACAGACTGACTGATTACTTTTGTACCTAATTATTTCGTAATAAATATTTTTGTTTCTTTTTTGACTCGTTTACATATTATAATATTAACATACCATATTATAACCCATACCTACCTATTCTAGATCGATAACTATGTACATACATAGTACTGTACTTGTGTATATGACATTGCTTATAACGACTATCGGATATAACGTCGGCAACTATACGGTCCCTTCAATGTCGTTATAACCGGTTTTGACTGTACTTGAATTGTTGTATAAATCTTTAAACTTAACCATGTTGTTTCAGCTGTTGTGCACCTGCGTGAAATTTGGTCAATAGTTAAAGAAAAGCTGAAAGAGCTACTATTCATTGTATTCAACTACTTGCGGAGACTAGATCCTGTTGACTATGAACGAGGTATTGCAATACTAATGGCCTGTACATCAAGTCGGAGAGAACTTGTTTTTACACTTTTAGATTTTATTGCTCACAAACTGGGAAAGGAAGTAATATCTAGTATAACAGTAGCTTGATTTGAGGTACTTATAAGATATCTATAACATGAGTTTTATTGTCAAGATTTAATAATGGGTTGTGTTCTTAGAAATTAATCTAGTTATTATGTATTCTAAAAATTGCTGTGATTTTAAATAAGATGATTGTAACTAATTATATTTGTAGACCAGTATTGACCTAGTGGTTAAATTACTCTTAGCCATAACTTTGTGTGTAATTAACTGCTTACACTTGCTTGTATGGTGAAGAAAACAGCATGTTTTGACTTGAAACTTTATGACAGACAAGTCTGGCTCAGAAAACTGATGCACACATAAAAGTAAAATGATAAAAGAATCTCATGAAGTCTGATCTGTAGAAAAAGAAAAAGGTTGTAACTTGTAGGACTACTGGATTTTATTTAATAATTTGCATACAATGCAATGTTAATTAATTTGTGTTCTTATCCATCTATTTATTGTGAAATTATTATCTTATTTAATAAAATGAATTTTAATTTAGATTCAATTTTCTATTATTTTTACTTCATAACCTGGACCTACATAAACTCTTTGTTTTATATAACTTATCTTAGCTTTATATTATATATCTATTTTTATATTATAAATATAAAATAAAGTATTTCAAGGCAGGGAATTATTAATGTAATTTTTTATGGAATAAAACAATCGAACAGTATGATTTATTTATTATGTATTTCCTAGTACCTAAAAAAAAATAACTACACAAAAATAAAATATTTGATAGGTGTACATAGGAATCTGTTCTCACTAACCGTTACATTACAGCTAATAGGAATGACTAATTTCTAACATGTTAAAGCCAATCCAAAGATTTTCACTTCCACTCTGGATCTCTCTAGTAGTTGTATAAGTACAGTTTTAATTAGATTATCACTACATATATGTATTAAGTAGAATGTAATACTAGACATCATGAAAACTGCGATTTCTAAGGTTATTTGGAATGAAGATCTAAAATATTCAACTGATTTTTCTACACTAAGCCCATATATGTCGCAGTAAAGTAGATAAATCAGAATGTTAATTGAATCTCTAGACAGTTAATTAAAGATCAATATTCAATCAAGTCGCTAGCATTTTGATTTAAATAAAGCAGCATCGAAAACGTAGAACTATCTGTCTGACCGAAAGTCAGCGTGTTGATTTATAATGTAAAACAAGTAAATGTACCAAATATATGCAGCAGAGCAGGGTTTACTTTTTCTAATTAAAGAAATATAAATAAAATATATATATTTTTAATGGCTATTAATTTTCCTAAATAATATTTCAATATTTAGGAAAATATATAAATATATATTTTTGTCCAATCAAATATCTTGGTCACCCTACCAAAGTTGAAATGCGTCTTGTTGTCTAGGAACGTTTAGGAAACTCGTTAAAAGTTTCGTTTACTCACATGTCTGACGGAACTTTAGCGATCTTTAATTAAATGTCTAGAGATTCAATTAACTCTCTGATTTAACTACTTTACTGCGACATGTACACTAATCAGAAGTGACTAAGTCGCATTACAAGTGCATTACAACACTAAACATTTTGTACTCTGTTAAATTATTCAACAATTTTAAGTTCTCAACTAAAATATATATATTATATATATATATCATTGACAAATAATAATAAATAATTACCCCTTTATTCAAAATAAATTAGACCCATTTGAACTATTCTAGTAGCAAAACATGATTTGTGACGGCTACAAATTATTTTGACCGTCAATTCGCATTAGTTTCTACTAATGTTGAGACTGTGTGTACTGTGTATATTATTGGTTCGATTATCACACAAAATTAAGCATTTATTAAATATTAATCCTATAACCAAGTATTTATTTAAATATTCGAGAAATAAATTATTCATGGACTACAGTCTCTGATTATAACTTAAATTATCATTGTCATGGTTTCAATTGTGGTTTTGAAAATGACTTACGGCAATTCTAAAATAGGAATGATTAGAACCATTTCATGAAGCAAAAAAGAGCGGGAGAATATACAACGAACGACAGCGACATGGCGTTCCGTTCCATTGTGATTTGACAGATCCATTTGACATAATAACATAAAGCACGATGTCGCGTGTCAACGCGTATTGGACTATAATATATGCTGTAGACCAATCAGAATCGAAAGGAAAGATAATCGTTTTGTCCTTAGTTTTACATTCTCACTCCCCAAATAGTATTTTTACCCAAAGATATGTAACACGGAAAAGGATTGCAGTCGAGTGGTATCCTCTTTTAAGTACCAGTAATGGGTTAAAAAATTAGCCCCGTTTTCAATGTCTTTAATACTGTCGAGGCACTGATAATAAATAGATATAAGAAATGAACTTTTAACTTATTATAGGCTTCTAAGATCTTATTTTTATTATTTGGTGATATATCCTAGGGACCTTAACCTTCAATGGGAGCCGATTTCTCAGCTTGTTAGTTTCCAAAAGCAAATTCAAGACATTATTGATAGAGGGATAGAATACACTTAAAATTCTATTATCTATGCTAAAACACATATTTTGACTTATGTGGCATAAATGTGACCAAAGACGATATTAAGTGCTACTCACAATGACAATAATGCGTTAAAGAGAAAAGTACTTCTAGTATTGTCTATACATATAGTCCTGACAAATTTATCAACATAAAACTAAAGGTTGCTCGATTTGCTTCTTACATTAGGTTCGCAATCTTTTTACTATTTCACCACTATTTATACGAGTTGTATCTCATACTAATAAATGGAGCATCAACTTACAAACAAAGTAGCAAAAGCTAGTCAATATTTCATCAGAACATAACCTAAAATTCGAATATTTGAAAGATCTCGGATTACCTTTGGTTATTTGTGCTGTGTATTACAATTTACCTAATAAATGGCTAAAAGAAGCAATACTGGTATAAACGTAAAATATTTAAGATTAAGTGCATTATTCTTCGTCCATAGCATTCTTCAGTTCCATGGCGAGTTTATATCCCAATTCAGGCCTTCTATCACGGCCTTCCACCATTGCTAGGACCTTTAAAAATACAGTTAGGTAATATAATAATAATCTTTATTTTTTGTCTCACATATACAAGGTTACTATGATTAAACTAAGACTAAGACATTAGGAAGTGTATGTGAGAGACTGGTCTCTGTAACAGGAGACCTGAGTGACAGATAGCCAGCCTCTCCACCACCGGACCGGAACACGTACAATCAGGTCATTGTCATAAGATACAATAGAAGAAAATAAATAAGTGCTAAAAGAAAACATTGCAAACGGAGTAAAATATAAATTGGCGATGAGTTAAGTTTGTCGGTCTTGACAGTTTATACAGTAAAGGAAGACTTCGCTAGGAAGGCCTTAGACCTAAAAATCGACATCGTGTGTCAGGCACAGAAAAAAAATTACAAAAAAGAAATCTGAGGCCAAATGGTAAAGGCTAGAATCATAAGATGCGTAGTTTTTGGGCTTTTTCGTAATAAAGGTACCTCACCAAAAAAACAAGTTACCGGTATTAATTATACTTTAGAAAGTTATGAAATTAGTAGACATTGGATATGATTAATATGACATTATCATAGTTGTTTTGTAAACTTTTCATTTCTATAATATTATATAATACAGTATTGGTTTCGATATTATAGTTTGATTATGTTGCCAAAGTAAAAATGACTGGCCTAAACTCTTAATTGATACTTGTTCATACGCTGGAGGATTCAGTACTTTAAGAAAAATTAATCAAATAAACAAACACAGAAGTTGTAAAAAAAAAATAATGTTTAAGGTTACTGTCTTTTTAAACCAAAAAGTTTTCATCTCTCAGTGCACAAATACTGTCCACTTAAAAAAAGTAAAAAAAAAGAGCACTTCCAAATATTTTGTTAACTAGACTGAACCTTTGAATGTGGGCTAAATTTTAGTGTCTATAAAGTTCTATTAACTAGTACATAAATATTAATTATATGCAAACTTCATACATACATCCTCAGAATTAATAATAAGTCCATTATTATTAATAATGGTACTCTTAGTCCGTTGCATGTCAGCCAAATCCACGCCACGACAGGCATTTTCTATCAACACTGAACGGTAGCCTATGGCGAGTGCGTCTGCTATTGTTGCACCTAAAAAATTTGTTACTACCTTAGTATTATTAATATATGTATGTATAAAAATAAATTAGTAGTCTATTTAGAGAGAACTGTCATGGTATTTGAGGACACAGCCGTGCTATTTTTTTTTCTTCACTTTCCGTATAGACTATACCGGCATAAAAAAGCAATTTTTTACAAAGCATATATACGTTATACGAATTTTGGTACCATAAAATCGTTATTCTAAAGTATGTCATTTTGTATGACAGTTCTATAATTATGTTTTTTCAGACAAATTGTTTTTTACTATATTGATAGATATTTTTTAAAGATACAGTAACTTTTATAAGTGGAAAATGTATCAGTTTCGTTATTAAAGTAAAGGTAAACATCAAAAGAAAAATTATAATTCAGGGTTAAAATTGTAGCGACACAATCTGCGCCTACAAATGACTGCGATGACGTCATAACCTGAAATGCGCTAACGAAGTTATTTCTTGACCTTAGCCACTGAGACCTTTGGGCAGTGGTTGGACTGGTTCTCCATTTAAGTTGGAGAAAAAAGTACACATTCCGGCCCCTACGAAACTATCAGTTTAATCAAAGACAAATTTTAGAGAACATGAAATTAATTTCCCTGGAACTGGCTGGCTTATATTGAAAAATCTTGTGCTAAGTGCAATTATATATCATAAAGACAAAACATACCGACACAAACATCATACGCGATGCCACAGATGTAAATATCAGTGACCGCGCGCATGCGCAGCTGAGTGCTGAGACTTGTTTCGGTGAGCTTCTTGTTATCCCAGAACACTGAATACGAGTCCACGTCCGGATTTGTACCCTTGTACACTTTTATCGCGCCGTCTACTACCTGAGCGAAAACAAATATGAACGTTATTTTTTTATAAAGTATATTAAACTAACTGAGACGAACTAACTGATAGGAGAAGAATTATTTATTTATTAACTCTAAAAAACTTCATACAAAACTTCATCACGTACATGATGTAATATCTACTGATAAATACTGCTAGAGGGCTCACAAGTGCGTTGCCGATCTATTAACGATTAGTAGTAGTACTAGTTTTAGGTCCTAAGTCGAAATGACTCGGAAATAATCAGATGAAAGGTTCCATATAGTGGAGTTGGTAACGGATATCAAAAATATACAGGCTAATAGTAGTTTTTTTCTAAATTGTGCGTAATGTATTTAATTAATTTAAAATTATATTAAAGCTAAAAGTCTAAATTAAACCAAACCTTATAAATTCCATGCCTATTGACGTGTTGATACGATTACTCAAGTTCCTGCTTTTAAATTTTGAACAAATTTTCTATAATCATTTATTATCATTAATTCAAGGTCATCTGATCTTTAATGTTTTAGGCTTAGTGACCTTTCGTAAAATATATAAATTGAAACATCAACACGTCAATTCACTACTAAGAACTTCTGTATCTAAACTCCGACACTTGATCACGATTGCTAACCTTGAGGTCCTTATGAATTTCTGCGCCCCATGAGTCCTGTACGCAGTGCCTTGGCCATAAACGCTGTTTCATTGGAGGAGGGCCCGCAAAGACGACTGTGTCGTAGGCTTGTGCCTTATCAGCTGAAACCTGAAACGAATCATTATAAACCAATGCTTTTATCTTATAAACTAACAAATGAAGATTCCTTGAAAACGAATAGGACTTTTTAGAAATCTCTTCGCGACGTAAAAACGCGTATTAGCCACGCGTACGCTATATACGCTACGCCACTGCGTATGCGCGCTAAGTATTCGTATACGTATATATACATATAGTGTTGAAATATGATGATATAAAAACATTGGCAACAAAAGTTCTAACTACATATAATATTTATTTTTTTATTTTTACAGAACAGGGGGTAAATGGGCAGGAGGCCCACCTGTTAAGTGATACCTCCGCCCATGGACACTCTCAATGCCAGAGGGCTCGCGAGTGCGTTGCCGGTCTTTTAAGAATTGGTACGCTTTCGTAGACTTATGATGTGGTGTTTATACAAACAATACAATTAAATTTTTAATAATTTAAGGATTATTTAGTAATTGGTGAGGCAACTTAATGGAAAAGTATAATAGTCCTTCTTTATTTGCAGAAGATTTTCTACTTCGTCGTAAATAAATGGTAGCCAGACAGCAATTACCTTTTTATTCCAAAATTACTGAGAGATTGAATTTTGATTGAATTCCTAATCTAATTCATTGTTATAAACGATATATTCTTTGTTTTTACAAATAGTCCATAATTTTGTTTTTTTTTAATAAAGAATAAATTAGAGTAAATAATAATTAAATTAATTTGAAACAACGGTTTTAGGATAAATAAGTTAAATTAACCGTATTTGTTTGCTATTCTATATCAAGTATTTTGTTTTGTACAGAACTAATAACCTCTCACCCGTCGAATGGAATTCAATATTATCAATGTATAAATATTCAGAAGACTACCGCCTTATTTAAATACTTAGAGAAACTAAACATTATTTGGATCCGGACGTAGGTACTTATTTCAAAAACCTATGGCAAACCCTAAATTGCGATTGACTGGTGTCAAATGATTCTCATTGTGAAGAGGTTTTTAGTTACACACATACTGAATACAAATCTTTCATTTTCAAATTAGAATAGATTATTTGGTATTGTCATAAAATATTTTAAATATATGAAGAACATCAATAAGTTCATTTGTTAAAACGAAAAGTTAATTAATTTCGGTGACGGCGGAGGCTTACGTAGAAGCCAGGATAATTTAAAGTACTTCGATAACAAATTGAAATTGCATTTTAAATAACTATTTCAACTTATCTATAATTTTTGTAATTACAAGTTACTTTAGTAATTTAAAACCGACTTCCTCCACGCAACATTTAGTTTAAACATTACATTAAACAATAGACTATTCTAGATTATTTCACAGAGATTATAAATAATCTTTAAATGTTAATAATCTTTTCCTGGTATGACTTCAGTAGCTTCTAATTAAGCATCATCTAATCATGACTTAGCGTTGGCCTAGTGGCTTCAGCTTGCGACTCTCATCCCTGAGGTCATAGGTTCTATCCGGCTGTGCACCAATGGAATTTCTTTCCATGTGCGCATTTGACATGCGCTCGAACGGTGAAGGAAAACATCGTGAGGAAACCGGCTTGCCTTAGACCCAAAAACTCGAGGGCGTGCGTCAGGCACAGAAGGCTGATCACCTACTTGCCTGTTAGATCAGCAGTCATGAAACAGATTCAGAAATCTGAGGCCCAGACTTAAAAATGTTGTAGCGCCATTGTTTTATTTTTTATTTTACGTTATACATGAATAACATACAGAAGTTCTAATCACACAGAATCTATCTATTATACTGTGTATAGACTCTAAATATTTTTCATTATTATTAAGGAGTATCCCAGCAAGTGATTTATTGCGGTGAAATTTCTTCGTACTGGATTCTTAAAATATACATTTTACAGCGTCGACAAAAAGAGTAATTTTTATATCTATCACGTATAAGTACTTATTTTAATCAAAATAATAAATAATGCCAAACGTTGCATGTAACGCATATCTAAACTATTATGCAATTACTTGTTTATGATATTATCTAATTACAGAAGTTAAATTGTCCTGTTATAAAAGTATATTTTTAAAACTTTACGAATTTTGTAAATTCTGCTATTTTTATTAATAATTAATAAAAATATAAACCAAAGGGCATTATAATAATAACCGATTGAATCTTTTTGTAAACTTTGAGTAAAAGAGATGGAAAAGGTAAATTTCAGGGGTAAATTTATTAGCTAAACTACATATCCTAAGAATAGCACAGCTGAAGTAATCCCTTACACCGGTTACTGTCGATAGTTAGATATTAGAAACCAAAATATTTCGCAGCATAAAAAATTATATAACTTTTGTAAGCTATTTAAAAACCAAATCAATAGATATGAATTATTCCAATTATATACTTTCTTTTTATATTTCTTTGAAAAGTATATACTCACAGGACTCGAAGGATCCAGCTCCCGCATATGTACATTGTCGATAAAGGAGACGTGGTCCGGTGGATGCCAATCAAGAGAATAAAAAACGCAGTCGAAAGGCACCGACTCGAGTAACGCATTTATCGGTTCCACTACCTGAAACCAAAAATATATATAAAGCAGGTTTAGTATATAACCATTAACCACTCTATAAAAGTGCTACACATGGCAGTGCTTTATGTATAACCCCGCCGATATTCCTAGTTATTGTACCCAATTTCGATAGTTCTTTTGATTATCGCAGTGCTGATGTTAGCGACATGGGACCGCATTGTTTAAAACCTCTATAAGTTATCGCTATTGGAAGTTAAGAGTACCGCAAGGAATAATAATAATATTGACACGAATTAAGTTCGCTGGCGATTGTTGTATGGATATTTTTAAAAATATGTTAGCATAACACTTTGTTTGAAACTGGGCAACAACTAACTTTAATCATTTAAAATATGAGCTAGTTAACTTATGTTATTGGACATTATCATAATGGTACAATTTATGAGTGTGGTAAAAACTAAAGGGCTCATATTGGCTTCAAGTGTACTATGATTTTTTACATTTTGTTTTCGCTTTTAATTAACTAAAATATATATATGTAACTTAACTAATGTTAGGTTACATAACTCACGCGTTTTCTGTTTTTGTTCAAATAAGCACCTTGCGATTAATTCTCCCTCTACTGGACTATCCGTTAAATTAAAGAAGCTACGGGTATTATATATATTCATTTTTAATAGGTATTAAGTCAATTTTACTAACACTATGGCAGCAGAATTACAATGAAACCGAAACATCATTCTATCTCTTTCCTTTATAGCGTAAACTCAAGTAACGAATAGACTGAACTGAGTCTGGTTTAAATTACATAATTAAAGACATTCCTTCCAAAGTGAATACTATACCGAATTATCAGGTGATTGATTTTTTTTCGTATAGATTTTATCGGAACAAACAAAATCGCAAGTCATCGTGATAATTTAACTAAAAACTTCTATGTATGGGTGCAGTCCCTCTATTTTCAATTAATCAATGGTAACAATACACAATTACGATTCACTGTAGCGTAAACACAATAAAGAATTTTACAATTGCCTAGTTAGAAACCCCATTATTTATCAAGGACGTATTTTTGGCCGTGTTGGCCTAGTGGCTTCAGCGTGCGACTCTCATCCCTGAGGTCGTAGGTTCGATCCCCGGCTGTACACCACTAGACTTTCTTTCGATGTGTGCATTTAACATTTGCTTCAAGGTTAAAAGAAAAATCCTGAGGAAACCGGCTTCCCTTAGACCCAAAAATTCGACGGCGTGTGTCAGAAAGCTGTTCACCTTTAACAAATGATCATGAAACAGATACAGAAATCTGACGTCCAGACCTAAAAAGGTTGTAGCGCCACTGATTTATTTATTTAAAAGCATTACGTATTTTTAAAAACCTTTTCAAAGCAATGCAATTCATTTCGACAATTCCAAAAATGGAAATGCTCTGACCTTTCCTCATATACAATTGTGGTACCCTGGACGCGATCCAAAAATACACCTTATTAAGTAGAACGATTGGAATCGGTTGGTAATAAGCCGTACCTGGTACGTTAATTGAGGGTGGTACGTGAACACTTCACACCTTCGCTGTCATCATTTTCGGCAACTTTCAACAGTTTAATTTGGGAAATTAATTTTTTCAATGTCGAAATAACAATGATAATTCACGCGATTAGTTTGTACCTTTGTAACCATGTTTCGTAGTTCAAACCGAAAACATCTGCATTGTTTTTATAATATATCATATAGGTTAAATAATGTATGTATTTTTGGTATGAATAAATATCGATATTCTGACAACACATTAGGTTCTTAATATTTCTAAACGAATGAATATGTTTTAATAGGAATAAAAAAAGGTTTTATTTCTTAGAAAAATAACTGGGCTTAGCTATCTCACATTCCCGCTTTTCTAACATAAAAAATGTTATGTGTAGGTAAATTAATGAACCTACTGTTACACTAAGATTCTGTATATTTAAATTTAAAAAAATTAAAGTAAATTTGTATATCTTTAAACGTATCTCAATGTACATAGTCTGCAAGTGAAACTAAAGGAAAGCTACATTTCAATAAAGTAGGTACATCTATATATCTAATGTAGGTATGCCAAATATGAGTCGATACGTAAGCATCCTACGCCCTACGTGGTGATTTATCAAAGGACGCATTTGTTTGGTCGATTGATGCTTAGCTATCGTTATCACATACTTGTGGTTGATACTATCTACGTATAGTTCTCGGATACTAGGGATTGTCATATTATTTAGATTTACAATTTACCTTTAACATCGTTTAAGTAGAATTTGTTGGTAAAGATTCAGACTGAGAACGTACATCACTTTTCCAAGAAAACCAAGTTATCATTCAATTAGTTTAAGTAGCCACATTTCATACATATTTCGGGTATTTATTTATTAAGACTTCGTTTCAAGTACACAGAAATATAGTACAATTAAAACAATTCAATAAAAAGGAGGGCAACTGGCGGCCTTATCGCTTTCGAGCGATCTCTTCCAGGTAACCACTGTGAGAGAAAAAACAATGAGCACAAGAAGTGCAAAACTAAAAGGTATTTAGACAAAACTAATGGAAGAAAGCAAAGCATTTAAAACATTAACATTGAAAGGGACAATAACGAAAAAGTGCACATGAATCACGATAAAGAAAATTTAAAAATAACTTGCACTTTACCCTTTTCTAAAAAAGCCGTAATTTCAAACGAAAATTGGTTCAAAGTTAGATTGCATGATGACGTTTACCTGCATTATATGGGCGGTAACTCTAGGTACCGATTGAACGAAATAATTTTTTAGGTTGAATCCAAATTTATATTGAATTATGAAGGAGTTTACTATGGTAAACTGCGTCGATATTTGTTCCAATTATGAACCATCGATACTATTAAGTTCCGTTTTAAATCGGTTTTGACGCTTGTAGCGTAAGATTTAGGTACCATATCTAAAGCAACCTCTAAGATCTTGGCTTTTTTTGGATATCAATACGAATTCTTTATTATTGAGATTTTATTAATTTACATATACATATTTCAATAATATTGAATCACATATTATATTGCTATTGTAGCACCTAGTTCGAAGTGAATATTTAGTTACACAATGCATGCAAAGGTATTGAATTCAATTTGCAATTCAGTCGTAAGACGTAGACAAAATAAATAGTTTGCTGACAATAGACATCTTTTTTGTAGACTTTTGTATTTACATTTCAATGCTCATAAAAGGAGGGAGGAAGATATGAGGCTAGGAAACGTAACGTTCTTTGGTATACGCTTTTTGTTATTGTTTTTTACAGGGCCTTGTATGATTTTGTTAGGTGGTGGACGATTCTGAGATGCAAACAGAGTACCAGCTTTAAACACCTAATATGCTAATTGGTCCCAAACTGAATTGTTACTACTATACATTATGCACGTGACACGAATGACATTCTAAATGACCACCTCGTACTTATTAGCCGTAAAAAATTGTTATGTTCTTATTTCATTTAATGTTTAACATAAAAGATAATCACATTTACGGACTTTGCACTTCCAGCTGCATATTTTATATGTGATTTTTTATCTACAATAAAGTCAGGACATTGGTTCAAATTGCATTTATATCCAAATATAAGGGTAGCATCGATTCAAACCACGCAGCTAAATTTAGGTACTGAGGTATTGCGGTGGATTACGCCTTATGCAAATATCGGACAAATTGACTTCCGACACGACAACTCTAGAGAATTATTATTTTTCTTCCCTGTTTCCTATCTTATTTATTAGCTGTAAAACTGCGGTGAAAGTTAGCAGATAATCGATATTATAGTCGCAGCATTGTACGTGGAACTATTTTTGAAGTTATACTTCTTTAGGCGCGTTATGAAAAATTTATGAGACTGAAATTTTACGATGCGCGCGCATCGTGACACAAAATTAACAGAATGAATTTGCCCACGGAAGATGCTACGGCATTGGACATAATTTAAAAACAATATTCGAATAATAATAGAATTTATGTTACACTTAATGTAAGAGAATACATAATAATAAATATTTATTTATTTAATTTTTCAAATGTAAACTGAACTTTATTGACTATAATGACTCCTTTTCCAGTCTTTGATTATTTAATTGTAATTAATTATTTGCATGCAATCAAAAACTATTTTTAATAATGCCAAAGAAGTATAACTTCTTACGCGCGTACATAAGTACACGCACCCTTTTTTTTAAACATGTGGACATGACTCGAAACAAAAATATAGTTTTGTATAATTCGTGTACCATTTACTTTATAAATCCTTAAGCTGTTAAATGTTTTGTCTTTAACAGTGTAATGTTACTTAAATGGAAAGTAACCCTAACAAAACAACCATCTCGGAGTTATAAAACGTTCATGAATAAATCAGGCTTATCACACAGTCGCGGAAACACTAGTACAAAAAGAATTGTAGTTTAGCTAAAACGTGTAAATTAACTTGACTAATAGATTGGTAATTTCTATGTTCACAAAATTGAGTCATTTTACAGGAAATTACCATTTCAGTTGACGTTATCTACGACTTTTTTAAATTTAATAGTTTTTAAGTAATTGTTACGCAATAAATGAAACCAACAATGTTTTACCTCAAAAATATTTTTTTTTTTTTTAATTTAATTACACTTTCACCTCAATCTCAGACTTTATTTAGATCATAATACATATGCAATTCCCATATACACAACTAGGGCTCCCTCTATAGGTTTGATTCCCATGGATACTTAGTGAAAAAGATGAAATGTGATTCTACCTAACAACTGAAGGGTTACAATGTCTTCAATACAAAAATAATGTATTTTAGTAACAGAAAAAAGGAAAAACCTTTTAAAAAAGTATTAGTATTAAATGAATGTTAAATAAACTGTAACTCACCTCATTTCCATCTTGCTGGGCATTGCATTTGCTGATGTTGAGGGTCCCAGAGATGAAGTCATTTTGGACATCTACAACGAGGAATGCACTCACTGGGCGTACTATCTGTAGAACAATCATTCATCAGTCTGAGAAGCTAAATAAAGAAATAGAAACTAATAAGAAACTAAAAAAAATAAAAATGCAACTATGTAAATTATGAAGTTAAGTAAAAGTTTAATTTTATATTTTAGAACTCTACATTGTATTCCAAAAATGAAAAGTAGAAGCCATGTTTTTCATTGATGAGCTAAAACAACCAGAAGGTATATATGTAATTGAAACTTCAATCTTACTACTTTAATCCAATGGTTCCAGCAGAATGTAAACTCCTCCTTATCAATGTATCCATCTCCATTCTTATCAAATACTTGGAAAATATGCCTAGCTCTCTCTTCACTCAATGGATAGATGTGGCCTTTGTCATTACGGAAGAGAGCCTTACATATCAGGCGGAACTCATCAAGATTCAACTTCCCATCCCTATAAAAGTTCTGATTAATTCCAAATTTATACTAAGGTATAGATTTTGTAATTTTTTTATTAAACTATAAGTGTAGCTTTTATTTAGTAACACTTATTGTTTATAGATAAATAAAGTTTATGTTCTCACCATCATGATTTAAAAATATATTGAAAGTTAGCTCTATTAGCTCAGCTAAATATAAGAATAAAAATTTCAAGCTAAGATTATGCAAAGAAGTTTAATGTTTCCCTACAATATTTAGAAAACTTCAAAACTGATAGTGCTAAGAATATAGTGCGTACGTAAAATCAATAAAAAAACTAGTTTCAATTCATTTAGCAAAAGTTTTTAGTCATGAAAACGAAAAGTCGAACCCATCTTTGTCGAATGTTTCGTAACATGCGTCCATCTCGTCAAGTTGGTCTAGTTCTATTGGAGATCCGTTAGCAACCTCCGACATCGTCGGTTGGATCGAAATGAAGCGTTCATCGCAACCACTGCTGTTTATAAGGCAGGTCAACATCTTGCGTGTTTCACTAACCTCAACAAGTTTGTAACTTTTTAATGCTGAATAGCCTTCGTCGGAACTTATACCGAAATGCCAAAAAACACATGGTACAGTCACGCATTTATAGTATTTTCTAATTTTATAGATTAAATAAAAGCAATATCTCGGCAAATTACATTATAAAAAATAAATAAAAATACATATTACATATTTAAAAATATAGTTTTGACATTAAACGATAGTTTCAACTTTCAAGTATGAATGTGGGTTGTGACATAAATTTGACTGTTTAGACTTTTGGCGTTGACAATGTTACGTACGCACTATATTATTCCATAGAAAAAGAATTAAGGTAGACTCCATTGCTTGAAAACGTACAATAAAATGAAAATTGTGTAATACAGTTCCAAGTAAACAACATAATAAACAGGGTGGCCAAAAAGTCGTGGATCAAACGCAAATAGGGGATAGATGAGGTCATCAGCGGCAAAAAATTGTTCTACGGGAGGTGTCTAAGGTCAATAAGGGCCCTGCAGAGTTATGATTTATTTTGGTTTTCATATGAAAATTGACTTTTTTTACTAATTCTTATTAAAATTCGAAAAAATCTACATCCTGTATCTATTTCATAATATCCACTAGATTAGTACTGATGAGTTCTTGCGTTAGACATACTATTTATAGTTGTTTATTGAGTGTATTGAAGATAATATTAAGTTATACGATATAAATTTTTTTCAAATCAAAACTTTTTGTTTATTTTGGACCCCACTGTGAAAAAAAATTACTCTACCGAAAAGTGACCCTGTACTACAAGTTTTGGCGCATTTATTATGGATTCTGAAAAGGTATTACACATGGCCATGAGTCGCTCTAATATACAATACAATAGTATACTCTGGCTATTGAATGAATGTCATGAAATTTAAAATTTTGTCACGGTTGTTAGACGTATTCAGTGTCAACTGTCATTTAACAAATGCTCTAGACTCTAGAGTCTAGTATAGTAGACAATAGACATACTTCTATTTACAAAGACAGCGCGGTGGCGGCGATTATATTTGCGATTTGCGTAAAACCGTTCTCGGTTTGTTTTTCTTTATATTACATAGAATATCGATATTCCATGCCGAATATTGTTGTTTAATATATATAGGTAGTCATTTAATACTGGTACATGAAAAGTTGCGTTTAGTTTTCGAAGATGATTGAAAAAGTGTTTGGTATAAACGCTACGAGCGTAACCCTCAATACCCGGTTTACATTACTGGCAGAAATTCTACCTTCACGTGTTATGAGACCAAGAAAACGCCTGGTTTCACACCCGGTCCCTAATATTAGCTATAACCTAAGAAGCCAGAAGTTACCCCAACAAATAGCTTATCACTTGCAGCAAAGTAGTCGGGTAATTTATTAAATATGTACTAATTACTAAGTTAATTTAGCCAAATTTTTAATTTCTAAACATCTTATTCAGTTTTATTGTTTACATTATTGGTTCCTATTTCACAGCAAAGAGTGAAGCAACGGCTTGGTCTTCGTAGATATAGGAGTGCGAGTAGCTTACCAGGTCTCCGGAGAGCAAATAGCACAGGCAATATAAATCAAGGAGTCAAAACTAGGCTTGCATGGACTAATGCTGATAGTAATCTAAGGTATATTTATAAACTGTTCTGTATGAGCTGTTGAAATATGTATGAGAATATTGTTTAGGTTAACTCTGTCTAGAATTACAATAACACATTAAAAATATTATGAAAATAAAATGTTCATAGGCTAAGGCTATATTTTACTGTGTTTACTACAATTGGTATTGATATTGCATCAATAACAAGAAGGTTAACCACCTTACAAACTATCACTAATTATAATAACATACATAATTATTAGTATGTATATTTGAACTATGATTTGGAGATTTCTCTAGTTATATTTGTCTTTGATTTTATAAAATTATCTTTTTTAATGTTGCATGAACATGCAACACAATGCACACATACCATGAAAATGCACTGGTAAATCAAGGTAAAATGTTTTATTCTCAAAGTGCTTTTATTTCAGATGGGCAGCACCATTCCACAATACTTCTGGTATGAGGCGTGGTAGTGGAATTAGATTACGGAATGCACGCATAAGACTTGTTCGTGGAGGTGTGAGGTATATAGATCTTATTTTATACAATTCTATAAATTGAAGACTACTACTTGTATGTCTATTTATGACTAATTGAAATACACAAATATTTTTATATTCATATTTTGTCCAAGATAACTTTTCCTTCTTTATCACTTAGTGACTAAAGTCATTGAAAAGCTTTCATGTGACCTTCTGTCCCTTAAAGACCCACATAGTATAGAGCTTAATTAGCAAGCAGTTATGCTCATCCAACCCAATCAAATTAGCAAATAGAAAGTACCCACCTCTTAGTACAATTATTTGAACACATTTATTATAGTAAATATTACTCATACAATTTAAAATACAGGGGTAGGGGTGGTCGTCAACAAATGGGCCAACTAAGAGTGAGTGCACCACCTCAACAAAGAAGGGCGCGAGGGGCTCGAGGAGGTAGGGCGAGAGGGCAGACACGGGGGAGAGGAAGGGGTAGGGGAAGAGGTAAGATATTCTACAAAATGAAACAAAACAACTTTTTAATTAAAAAAAAAAATACCATACAAACTCGTATTCTATGTATAAACATATTAAACTTAGAATACATCTAGGGTAGACTAATTTAGAAATATATACATACAGGTTAAACCTAACTTTTGAGGTAACCTAATGACGCGTTTATTGTCATTTCGTCTCATTAAAAAAATTTCAATGTGGAAACTATTTTAATATTATGGAAATTTATACCAATGGTCTTATTATACTAACATAATAATGCGTTTCAAATTCCTTAATTAAATTTATTCATCAGGGGCCACAACTGCCAAGAAAGTACCAACTAAAGAAGAATTGGACACACAACTTGAGCATTACATGGCAAATTCCCAATGGGCACTCGACAAACAACTTGATGATTATATGAAAGATGCAGTGAAAGAGGAATGACATTAATAAAATTATAAAGTCAATACAGGCATTTTACAAAACTAACTTTATGGGGATTTCTAAATAATATATTTTTAATAGATCAGGTAGGTTTTATATATTAATCAAAGCAAACAATTCATTTTCATCTTCCAGCTGTGGTGCAATTGGGTTTAAAATTATTTCTTGCGTTAAATTTACAAAATAAAATCTAAAAAATATAAAACAATGGTGCTAATACACCACAATGTACACAAGCTACATTAGCAAAATTATCAAGTCACAGAATGGAGAAATAGACTAATTTTTTGGCATTCAGGGGCCAAACCAAATGTATGAAATTTATTGTTTTTATTTTGTAAATTACTAGACTTCTTAAACATACAAACATAAATATGTAGTACTCATATGCATTTTCTGCATAATTTTTGTCCCTGAAAATTCTATGGATCTGAAATTAAAGAGTCTTAATTGTCTGACATTAAAAATAAGAATGGGATAGATTGGAATCTGCATTAATTCAACATTGTTTGATGTAATAATAAAATTTAAATTAACTTAAGTGACAGAAACGCCTAGAAACCGCTTAGAACTAACTTTGATCTATATCAATTACTCCTGATAAATCTTTTTTAGAGGATTTAACTAATATATATAGGGAATATAAATTTCAGATCCTTCTTTAAACTAAGAAATAGTTAAGACTTTTTAACGCAGACTTACCTTTATATTTTTTTAAATAACAATTATCACCATATACATTTTTTGTGCCTTAAAGCTCTTTGGATCATTAAAACTGTATTATTATTAAGTTGAAAATAGCAATGTATTTGTTTATGTCAATATTTTCCCCATAATATATGTCCATCTCATATTATAATAGTACGAAATGTCTTTAAGAAAGTGATGTAAACAGTCAGAAATCACCTATGAAAAATATTGCTAAGCTATTTTAACCGAAATGAATGTCTATTTGAATATATTATTGCCAGATCTTTGAAAGAGCAAATACAGCGAAATGGTTGGAACTTAGAAGATATGTAAAAAGGCATCTTACGCCAGAAAAAAAAGTTGTGTAAACAGTTATTAGTATTGAACTGAAATACATTATAATTATTTTACATAGGATCTAGCGATTAATACCTCCGAAGTAAACAAAAAGTTATGATTCGAAAAACATATTGTATAACTTAATATTATCTTCAATACAATCAATCAACAACTATAAGTAGTATGTCTAACGCAAGAACTCATTAGTACCTATCTAGTGGATATTATGAAAAAGATACAGGTAGATTTTTTCGAATTTTGATAAGAATGAGTAAAAAAAGTCAATTTTCTTATAAAACGCAAAATAAATTATAATTCTGCACGGGTTGAGCTTAGAGACCTCCCGTAGAACAATTTTTTGCAGCTGATGACCTCATCTATCCCCTATTTGCGTTTGATCCACGACTTTTTGGCCACCCTCTATAGGTGCCTACTTATTTTAACATTTATGTATATGTTATTTTACATACTTTTACGTTATTCACATATAAACCGGTTAAGAAACCGGTTTATATGTGAATAACATATTTTCAGAGGTTAAAATCAGCCAGCAGTAATTAAGATTAATTTTAATGTATAAATAATTACTTTGTAAGTTTGTTGTTGAAATAAATTTCTTTTTTATGACATTACGTTTTATTTATTCATACAAGAAAAACAAATAGGTATATTAACTGTGTTTTAACAAAAAAGTACTCAAATAATAAAAATGCACGTCATTATTATTGTTTTATTAAGAAAACGGACTAAAGTACATTTTACAATGTGATATAGAATATATCCACTTAGGTTCACACTAAGCCTGAATAACAATTATCTATTTACACATCCTAAAATAAAAACTTGGATGACGTTTCATTCATTAATTTAAAAAAAAAACTGGTTTTGTTACGGCAAAATGTCGACAAAATTTAATTCGTGGTTATTACTATATGATTTATTATGGATTTATTAAAATGCGATTCACAACTTAGCTTGAGTCAGTTAAACTATACTAAAATATATTTGAAATGGAAAAGTCATCCAAGTCAAATAAATAAATAAATATGGTGTTACTACAAAATGGCTATTTCAATTGTGCGTTATTACATTTTGTAAATTAAACATAAATAAAATTGAGGTTTAAATAATAAATACTTATGGTGGGAGAACTAATTACTTAGATCTAATGACGGGTACCTAATAGATATTTCTTGCAGCCTTAAAAGAGTACCCCACAGAAAATTATTCTAAAATAAATAAATAATTCTATAATTAGGAAATAGTATTTACACTCTTACATAGAGGAATAATAAATGCGTTGAGATACTTACAAAATACTTAAACACTTGTATATTTTAAGATTTTTTCTCTCAATAAATATAGCACCGTATTCGATGTTGATAATATTTCTTTAGGTTTATTTGTTTGATTTATGTTTGGTAATGAGACAGCCTGTAACGGCATGGTAGATTTTAAGAATTCCCCATTATAATCTAAGTTTAATAATAGGTCGAGATGCCAGAGACGTAAAAAAGTCAACTGGTATTCGAATTATCAGTTAAGAATACCAAAAACTTAAAATGGCGTGATGTATTCGAATTTCAAATCGGCGTTTGTCACCAACAGTGACATTTAATAATAATAATTTTTGACACTTCTAGAAATGACTTCCGTATTTGGTTCATTATTGAACCGATCGATCAATGGGGAACGGAGTTCTACTAAAGGTTATTAACAGAGATAATCTGATTGATCCAGCCGATAAACGAGGAGACCTTAACGTAAACTCCTGGTACGTCTTTACGACCACATCCGAATCCCCACGAGACAAGTCCCACTAACTCATAGAATCCATCATCTTGACATACTAGAGGGCCACCGCCATCTCCCTGTGAATTAAAAAGAAATCGTTTAGATTCTGCAGAATATATTTCGACTAGAAAAATTCTACAAAACTATAGAAAGAATTTAAAACATATATAAAATCATAAAACTAAAGTTAATTTATTTCGAGTTATGTATAAAAATTATAAATCTCACCTGACAAGCGTCGTTTCCCTCTTCGCCGCCCGCGCAGAAAGAACTAGCAGGTAGTATGAAGATCTTTTCAGTGACCGCATTAACTTTTCGGATACACTCTGCGTCACTTACTATGGGCAACTCTGCCTCACGCACACGTAATGGTATAGGACCACCTGGAACGAAAAAAAATTGAAAAATTATTTAAATTAAACTAACTAAAACCTAACATTAAAATTACAAACTTCAAAACGATTCTGTAAAATGCAATAACAGTTAGTTTAAATATAACTATATTTTTATTACAATTAAAGTATAATTGATGACTAATTAGAGAATGAAGATGTTATTGATATCCATCGTATGATTTTCTGTTAGAGAATTCATAATACGAGGCGCGCTATCTCTATGGCGTATTCAATTTTAAAAACTGTTTTCATTACTTTGGCGCCTTTTATGTTATGATAACTGCAATATAAAAATGGCGAGCCGAAGCAGTTGTCTTTTTCCAGACGAATACGTAAGACAAGGCGGTTTTACCAATACACTTTAGCGAATAATGATAAAAAAAGTTATAAATAAAACTTGTGCTTTCAGTACTAGATCTGTGAAAGTTTGATAGATATTCACCGTCAATATAATGTGTGAATTGTGTTTGATTTAGGATAGCGTCCTCCGTATCACGGGGTTCAATCCCGTTTTACTAGATCAGATAACCATGCTTTATGATATCCAACATTCTCGAATGTGTAGCACATTCGTATTTTCTTCAACTAAATGTTATTTGGTTCCTGTTGGGACACTATTTTTCAGTAGTGGGTTAAAAAAATGTCTCTTCTAAAAGCAAATTCAATTATTAGTTTTCATTTGGGACCGTTGCTATTCTTACTATTTGTAAACGACGTTAAGAATCATATAAAGCACTGTAAAGCGTCTCTCTTCGCTGATGATTTAAAAATTTATAAAGTTATTAACACTGTCTGTGATGCTGCTCTAGTTCAAAGTGATCTTAATGGTATACAACATTGGTGCTTTTTAAATGGTATGATCCTCAATATAAATAAGTGCTTTCATATTAAATACACAAGAAAAAAAAACCACTTGTTACTGTGTATAAGCTTGACGGCGCGCCATTGAAGGAGGTTCAGGAGATTCGTGACTTGGGTGTTATTATTGACAAAAAATTAACGTTTACATCGCAGGTCAATAAAGTAGTCACCACATCCGCACGAATGCTTGGATTTCTTAAACGGAATGCGGATTGTTTTGGTTGTACGACTAAAACAATTTTGTACAACGCTCTGGTGCGCAGTCATGTTGAGTTTGGTAGTATTATATGGAATCCACTATATGCGATACATTCGCAACGCGTTGAAAGCATACAAAGATCTTTTACGCGACACCTAGCTTTCATAAGCAGAGGATTTTCACATAGACAACCGTACCATCAGCGACTTAAAAAATTTAATATGTTATCTCTTAACAATCGGAGAGCTCTAGCCGGTGTTACATTCTTGTATAAATTGCTCAACAACCATTTACAGAACAGTGACCTTTTACAGGAAATCAAATTTGTCGTCCCTTACTCATTCCCTAGGTTTAAAATTAACAATATATTCCAAATTCCATCTGCCAAAACCAACCTAGGAGTTCAGGCACCTCTCGTTCGAATTCTTCGCGATTTCAACAAATTGAACACAGCGTATCCAGAGCTGGATATATTCGGTAGTGGGCTGATCGGTTTTAGAGAAAGCATTGTGGGGTGCCTTTCTAGAACCTAATTTCGCTGTTTTTCTGATGATTTTTCTTTTTTTTTCTGCACATAGTTGTTGAAAATTTTATTTTATTTTATTTTATGTTTATGTTAAAAAATTTATTTTATTTTAATGTGTGCTTGCATTGTCGTGTGTGTTTTAGTTGTGTTTTTTTTTTTTTAATTTCTATTTGATTTTATTACTGAGAAACTTATGCTTGCATTAACTGTCACACATTTTAGATGTGGGATTTTGTGAAATAGTTGGTGGACTTATGACTGTGTGTGATGTTGTGGGCTTTATAACTAAATAAATAAATAAATAAATACAACAATACTCACTTTCACCCATATATCCGTATCCAGTGACCGTACATCTTTTTCCTGCAGCATGACTCACTCCTCGGGCTGGCAGACACACCAGACATACTCCTGAAAATCACAAAATTGTATTGTTAGATTGTAAAAATTCTAGACTTCTTTCGGCTTTGAGTTCTTTTGATCTCTTATTTTTCTCATGGAAGTCTTTTAAAATAATATTATATTATTAAGATTTTAGTGTATTTAAACTCTTCGATATAATGGTAGGATAACTGAAGTCACTATTTTTCATTTGCTGGCCACTAAAAATTTTCGAAAAAGACAAAAACAATATTATAATTTATAACGAATATTTGTATCTTAAACATAACTAACCTTCCTTGAGCTCTGCCTTGCCATGGAGCTTTAATAATGCGATATCGTTATCAAGGGTCTGGCTGTTGTGATTATGGTGGATGTAAGTTGTAGCCACTCTTAAGGTCTGAGCGCCTGGGGACCCGTATTTTCTCGTGAGGTCATGATCTCCCACCCGCACGTACATTGCGTCACCGGAACGGACGATACTAAAATGATAAAATATATTTAATAATTTTCAAAGATATAGATACAAAAATCACCATAGTGAAATTATTAAAAAAGTGACTTCTAGTGAAACACAGCTGCAGAACTTTGACCGGACGCTTAGGTTAACCTGAATTTTCCGAACAGATTGTTCTTCGAATTTTTTCAAATATAGAAGCAGGTAATTAATAATATGAAAATTAACAGAAAGACAGGCTTTAATGTCCATCAATGGAAAATATATTCCAAAGTATTAATTATATTTGATTTTTTTATTACTGTTATAATTACTAACTTGGTAACACAATGTGCAGCAGTGAGCACCCACTGCGTGCCGACCAACGCTGCTCCACAGATATATTGATTAAGAGAATTAATCAGTGCTGTTTGCCAACACCATTCTCCTCTCTCTCCATCCTCACCTCCCATCACACGTCCTGACCGTGACGATGTTCCTAAATATTAAAACATGGTTCTTAGACTCTCTATGGGGTGGTGCATAATTTTCTTTTGAAGAACACGTAATTCCTTCCGTGCAACTTACCCTTCACACCGCAGACATACTTGTTATACTTCTCAGGAGTCCTCAACGATGTTGGGTAATTTGGCTCGTATGCTGAAAATAAAATAATGTTTGTTCAACATTTGTATGAATCTTTAAAACGACCGTATCTCAACGATACCGACTTAAAACAATTGGGATGTCAAAGCGATTTTATTTATATTATTTATTTCATGACAAATTTTCACACCATTAGGGCTAGCAGCCGCAAACTTATATTGTAATATCATATTATTGTACCCCTAATTGAGTTGATTTAACATTTTCATACGATCCTATCAAGTATTTCTGACATGTATTTTTTTTTATAGGACAATTCACACCAATTGACCTAGTCCCATGTTAAGCTGGTGAAGCTTGTGTTATGGGTACTAGGCAACGGATATACATACATATTATAGATAGTTAGACATATAAATACATATTTTTTAAACACCCAAGACCTAAGCACAACACCAAATGCTCATCACATCGATGTTTGTCTCAGCCGGGGATTGAACCCGGGACCCATGGATTCGCAGTCAGGGGTACTAACCACTAGACCAATGACCCGTCAAATTTGAATGTTAAAATATTGGTAATGTATAAATACACATACCAAAAACATTTTAATATACTTATTACTTACGCATAGGCGTAGTGTGCTGAGGCGTATACGTTTGTGCCGGCGTGTACGTATACGGGGTGACGTACGTGTGCGGTGGATGAGTGACAGCTAACGGATACGTGTCGTTACGACTAACTCCCATTGCCTCTAACACTTTAGATTTGGGCGCGCAACATTGCGTTCCCGCCTTTTTGCATTTGAAGACATCCGTCATTTCTGCGTTTCCTACAGATAGAAAAAACAAGTAATGGTCTATTTTTGATTCATAAATTCGAGGCTTAAAGTCTATAATTAAGGAATATTAAAACGTTTACTTATTGTCTTTTATTAACACCACACATGTAAAAGATACAATTTAGTCAGATTAAAGACGTTTAATTATGTAGGTAAGATGAATTTAACAGACATTTTTTTTGTTTTATTATTGTTTATGTATTAAAACGACTATCCTAAAATACTTACGGAAGCATGTAAAAGATAGCAGCGACACGATACAAGACCCCGGACAATCTGGTCGCGGGTCCACTGGCGCTGGAGTCGTAGTTGTTGTAGTGGTGGTTGGGCGATGAGTAGTCCGGGGAGGCATTCTGGAACCATATTTGTTGGGTTTAAATATATTCAGAGGGGACTCATAGCCTAGCGGTCTTATTAAGTGGCAGCTAGATGAGGGGTACCGGGTTCGATTCCTGGTTCGAGGGCATGTTTTAATTTAATTTAAATTTGTTCTCGGCCTTTGGGAGGGTTGTGCGGTACCGGGCGAGTGCCTAAACCGTACATGGAGGACACGGTCGAATTTCTAAAGACAAGCACGAATTATAAAAAATCCTATACTTGACGCTGGCTAATGCACAAATCGTGCCAGACCCATAAAAAAAAATTATATATTCAGTCCGGATAGAAAACCGACGAGAAAATTAAGGTCGCTGCAGTGCTAGATAACTTTTCACCGACTACATTTGTTATTTTGACAAAATTGGTCCATCATTATAGTTCGACAGTAACCATCTTGATACGAAAAGTTTAAAGAAGATGAAATTTTGTGTTAAATACCTAGTGTTATCACAACAAATGGATCCGCTATGCTTGCAGCTAGTGTGAGAGAGTAAGACAGCTGGTCGCTCACAGAAAGCTGCCATGATGTTTAGCAGACAGTAGCCTGGACAACGCGGTAACGGCGCCTGTAAATTGATCGAAAGAGTGATCTTTAGATAAACTTTGATTGTAACAGTTAATTAAAAAGAATCGTTTTGGAGCTCTCGACTAACATATACATTATATGCTTGTTAATTTGTAGTTTCAAAAACTTGTTCTAGTTTTAAAAAAGTTAAATATTTACGATATCGACACAAAAAGAATAAAACTAAATAATTATATTCAATCGCATTAATATTTAGTGTAATCCTTTAACGACTATTAAATTGTTATTAAGAGATAGGATAATATGTTATAAATAAATTTGTTGAACCATAGAACGTTACATGAATGAGAGACTACAATAAAATAGAAACGTTAAAATTTCAGCAAAAGTAAGTTGTTACATATTTGCATACCGGAGTAGTTGGCCTAGGCGTGGTAGTGGAATATGGGCGTCTGGTAGTGGAATCACTGCTGTCCGAGATACAGCATGTACCTTCAGAGGGACAAACGGCATCTTCATCCACATGGTCACAGAGTAACGCAAAAAGCCCACTAATGCAGTCACCTCGACATTTATGACCAGGTTTCCTTGATGGTGGTGTGGTTGTAAGCTGGAATCATAATAAATAATGAAGTTTTCAGCACTTCTTCCGTACAGGATAGTTCTATTTGGAATTAAGAGGGTCATTTTGAATTAAATGTGCACCACTAACATTTTACTGTATATTTTAGAAAAAAATAAAATTGAACAATTTTACTTTACTCACCGCAGTTGTAGGCCGTTTTGTTGAATGCTTCTTTTCGTTAGGCACAACTAGGTCTGGAGGACGTCTGTCGCCATATCCATCTTTAGAGACACAGCAAAGACGCCCAGTCACACAAAGTTCACTTGAAGTGAGATAAGCCTCACAGTATTGTGTCAAACGTGACTCTACACATACTCCGGGACAAGCGATGTTGCCTGAAAAAAATACATAATTAGCTTTAAAAGGTCAACTAACTATAATCTCCACCCGGGTTCGAGAAACAGAAAAAAACCGAAAGACAATTATTAGTAAAACTATTTTTGCGTGTATATTCCTGTGTTTAGAAATTCATGTATTTTGCCTTATAATTGTTCCTTTTTTATGTTTTTGCACCCTTTGCACAAAAGGTAATGTAAGATGTTTAAAAGTCCAAAGTAAAAGTTTTGAAATAATCAAAATATTAATTAACTAATGAGGAAGGGTGTTGTGCGATTCCTACAATCTAAGAGGATTCTCGGCTAGTCTAACCATTAACTAGCCCAAACATCCTAATGGCTGAGGTTGGAATAACTTTGTAGGTACAATTTCGGGTTTGACGGCATCGTATTGGTTGTAGTCGTGGGTTGCTACAGAACTATAGTAGTAATTTCTTATTCGTCCAAATTTGTTAGTCAGCAATTTGCTCTCTAATCTTGTACTTTATCCTAATACTAAATAGGGTGTACCTAATAATTACCACTGTCTTTGTATTTGTCTGTCGGCCGAGTTGTTGTGTCTTCGTCGTCATAGCTCTCAGTTGTCGTGTAACGTGTTGTGAATGGACGACGCGTTGTGGCCATTGTTTCGTTACCTGAAAATGTTTAAACGTAAGCGTAAGATAAAGGAGTGTATTTCCTTATAGTTTTATTGAAATAAAACCCTATATAGGTACATTTTATTATATTATAGCTTACTTCTTTCCAGTAAATATATTAGTTAAATAAAAAATAACTTATAAGTGTGTGGGTAAGTTATCGTCCACTGAGCGTTGAAGATTCTGATGCTTGAATGGCGGTTGGTGGTAGACGGGAATGTTAAGAGTTATATGTTTTTATTTATTTTAAAAATTAATAATGTTTTTTCAAAATTAAAACAAAAGATCTCTTAGGCAGTAAACCAAAAATCCGTCAAACCGTTTCAGAAGAGTTCGGATACAACAACTGTTACTTTTGCAGATAATTCATTTATTTTACGCCGCTCTAACAAGGCAAAATCGTGTATTACTTCAGTTAAGTCAGTCTAGATTTAAAGTGTTTCCTTAATTATACTTAACTTAATTATACTACTCTTTTTTAAATAAATAATTATTATTATAATTAAGTTTGACGAGAGAAGAGATAAAAGTGAATATAAGGTAGATTTTTCGATCGTATACACTTACCTAGTGGTTCATCAACACAACATTTCATAGACGGCTTGGGGCATTCGACTTCATCAAGAACATTTGAGCAGATAAGTGAAGTGAGCGCGTGCATACATACACCCGGACAATTCTTGGCATCCACTTGAGTGTCTAACGTGTCCAAAAGACCTGGAAATAATTATACATCTTAGAAAAGATTTCTCTCTGAAACGCTTAACTTATAAACAAACGTAATTAAGTAGATTTCTGAAATAGTTCTTAAATAAGTTATAACCGAACCCTTAAAGAATTTAAAGAAATCCTTAAAATTATTTAAATTGAGGTTGCAGCGCCCCAGGTTTCAGGAGTAATTAATGAAACTTGAGTATTCAACGTAACTAATTTCAGTTTTATTAATAAATTTTTACTATGAAATAACAATTTTCTTCTCTGAGCAACGACAGTGATTTGTTTTTGGTTAATTGCCTTACTAATAAAAATACGGTGTCGTAAATTAATGGCTAGGAAGTGAATCGTAAAAAATCCTATTTCAATAATCACACTTTTAAAGTAAAATACTAAAAATCTATATTATACAGATGTATTAATCAGTAATTACATTAACTAAACATATAACTGTGTTTGCAACCTGCACACGGTTTTTATACTGGTTTATACCGGTTAAAAATCACTTATGCTACACACGTACCGGCCGGCGTCCGCCACTTTTCAGTCACTCAGGTAATCAAACATTATTCAAGTTTGATAGCTTTCTCATTCACTATTACAACATTACTTATTATGGTATTGGTTACAATTTGTTTTTGAAAGTTATTTTGACAATTAGTCTGTGAATACAAAAAACGGATCCTTACTATAGAACTCTCGATGGAGACTAAAATGTGCTATTAAGGTGAATAAAAAGGAACGTGTCTTTAAAAATAACCAACAAGATAAGAAACAAATAAAGGTTATGACTTAATTGAAAGCCCTTTGAACACATTTTATTATATTTATTATGACTTTGTTGTATTAATAGTACATAATATAGAGTCAGGTAACATAGGTATGTATTATGAAGGCAACGGGCGGCCTTATCGTTAACAAGCGATCTCTTCAAGGGAACCCTATTAAAGAAAAATAAATACTAAGGGTAACAAAAATGAAATTACAAGTAACAATGTACACTTAGACAATTATCAAACTAACATCTAAGATAAAACTAATCTTCTAATCTAGCTAATCGTGAATTAATGGTTCAGGTTCCAAATACAATTACGATTGAGCTTTAGTATTCAGTAGCTTTAGATGTGGTATGTAAATGAAATGAAATCTTTTAAAAGTTTATGCTTTCTACTATAATTTGATTTTAATTAACTCCAGTTAACGAAGCCGCAATAATCACTGTATAATCTAGTCGAGTTAACTTGGTCAATTTCAGAAAGATGATCGTAATATGGCATTGGAACGACCTTAACTGTAATCCTAACCCAAAACTGGACATACCGCATTCCCAATACCGTTATATCACCATCAGTTCAAAGGAGTTCGGCCTCTGATATAATTTTAAGTGATGTTTCAATGATAGACAGGACCTCTGATACATTTGAAAAATGTAAATTTTTGTTAATGAGAACAGATTCTGTTACGCTTTCTGATGTTTCGCGATTTATAATATAAAAATCTATGTTTATTTGAGTACTTTTTTTGGTAAGGATATACTCATCCTTATCGTCAATAGTACTTATTACAATCATTTTAGCGTAGAGGACGAAAGCCTGACTCTATTTTCTCATTCAATTTGTTAAGCCTTTGGTTTGTGACATTTGAAAGTTCGGATTGATGTAAGAATAATATTAAGCCAGCAAATTTTGTATTTCAAACACTAAACGTGAAAAGCTTTCGCGCTTAATGATATCATATCGAAATCAATCAGTCGGCTTTATGACATGATATCGAAATTATGAACAATTAAAACAGTTATGAAAAACTGAAAATGAAGGAAGTGACCAACGTGAGAGAGCTAATATTATATGTTAAAGTAGGATAATTACAGTGAGTCATAAAGAATAATTCTACGTTGTAGCGTGACTAGCTCGTGAGTAAACAAACGCGCCGTTAGCCGTTACTCAATGACCTAACGTGCTCGGGGAGAAATCGTGTGCCGAAAATGAAAGTACCAGTGACAATTGACGTCTTGGACATTACCTACGTCTCTAAAATAGTCAGCATTACACCAAGCGTATCTTATATGCGGTAGTATGTACTGTGGTTTTATTTCATATAGTCAAAGACAATTAGCGCTATTAAAGTTTGAATAACTTTGTAGTTTGGTGTGAAGTAAGTAAAGTTATTGAAAGTTCAAGACTGTCGTTATAAATTGATAATCTTATCAAAGTAATACGATTCAATGTAAGACAAAAGAGATACACAATGTGTGTTTCCTACATCCACATAGTTAAGCTACTCCATGGAAATGGACAATAGCTAATAACTATAGGTGTGCTCTAAGTGGCCCATGAATAAGTCAAAATGCGTCAATACCCGAGCAGAGTCGGGTTGGCCCACTGTAATAATGTAACTTTCATAATAACGTGATTAGACGACTTGTGTCTAGAACACTATGCGTCGGGCACTTTCTACCGGACCAGTTTAGTACTATGTGCTAATTACTTAACTCTACATTTCTTTAATGCACAGATGCAAAAAAGTGACAAAAACATATCGAAACTGTTAGATTAGTGTTTCATAATCTACAAATTAAATATATAATCTATATAATATCAACTTAAGCGAGCTTAAAACGCGCGGTACTTTTATAAGATGCAATACTATGAAAGGATCTAAATATGAGATAAATTATATAACAACAGTTTAGATGCAAGTATCATGCAATATGAAGTGAGACACCCATCAATTAGTTGAGAGTACATTCACCTCGCGAGAAAGCATTGACTACAGCGCAGCGTTCAAATCATTGTGACCAATATTGTGTTGTGATACTTAATTAGAATATATTTAATAGAATCATAAACTAAGCTGTATGTAATAAATAAATTAATGAACGATACATTTTGAACTTTATAATTATAATATAAATTAAATTCGCCTAGTGTAAATAAGACGACGATTCGTAGAAAACAAACGGTGATAAATAATAAAATAATTAAACATATTTACGAAGTTTATGAGTAATCATTATATACCTTATAAATAATAGAATGTTATAAGGTATAGGTAGGTATATATTAGTAACTAACACAAGTATCAATTTTTACTTTAATAACGTTACGTTTAATACAATTCACCTAAAAGACATACAAAGAAACTAGTTGTTATTTAACTTTATAATTCCAATAAATTGTCTCAGCAACACGAAGCCGTCCTAATTATCAGTTTATTGCACTGGTCACACTATGGCAAAATTATTTAATTAAGAGTAGAATTTAAATGAATGCTAGCCTAATCGCACTGGTTCAAGATGATGGCTACCTCAATAAAATAAAAGTCATCGCAGCAGTTAGTAATTATAATATATTTTTGAGGCCTTCGAAAAGTTGCGTCACCCCAACCGGCTAGCGAGTGCTGAAGAGGTGACGTCACTGCACTTTCTCCATACCCCTTTCCCTCGAGTCCTTGTCACTTGACATGTATCATACCAATTATACCGGCTTCACTTGAAATAGTTTAAATGAGTTACAGTTCGCATAGTAATGATTTTCATGCGCATGAATGATTCGGAGCAGAATTGGAGATATATGGAAACATCTCATCTGCGAGTATTAGAGTCTTAAAAATAGGGCAGACTGTAGTGATTCTTAACTTTTTGTAGACACAAATATTTCACATGAACTTCTATTCTATTTCACTTGTTTATTCAAATATTTTTATCAATGTTTTCGTAAATGTAGCATCAAAATACTAATAAAAATAAATAAAACTTTTTTTCTTAATGTTAAAAAGCAGCATTATAATTAGCCGTTTTAGTAGATTTCTAAAAAGAATGTTGTATTTGTATGTTAGTGCATATTTTAAATTAAAAAAAAAGTGTTTAAATGAAAAAAAAAGCCACCCGTATCTAGATGGTGTTGCTTTATAGCGGAGGCACAAGTCTTTTCCATCACTAGACAAAAGCCACATGATCTGCCTAATTCCCAATTCTGAAGACCACTTTGCTAGCAGATCGCGTGTTCGCTGTGTCCACTTGTATTATGGGAAATTATAACGTTATTTAACTGTTAAGTATTCACGCTAAATCCATATATCATAAAGTTTCTTAGTTAAAATATATTAAAATCACGAATGTTTAGTTGAATCACTTTTGTTTATTTTTTTATATGTTTACACAAGTTTAGATATTAAGATATTCCAATAAGTTAAGTAAGAATAAGTGAATAAGTATGGAAGACAAGAATATTTTCAATTTCTCATAAAGAAGCGTTACGCGCGTTGATGTCTTTGCGTTCTAGGCTTTGAACTCCTGCAATCTCTAATTCACATGCAGTACTAAATTAAGATTATAAATAATCGTAAATACATTTAAATATTAAGTAAATAATGTGTAAACATAATTCAATATCTTTCAATCTGGAAGTGCTTGTTTCGCTAATAGATACTAAATGAAAATACAGTAATTTCCCGTCATCATCACACAATGATAGCAAGTGGAATAAATTATCACATAAATAGTAAATCAAGTTTAACGGCGCCCGCGCACCGTTACAGCGACCCATGTCTGTCAGGTATTGTCTAATCCGTATATATATGTGAAAAATAAGTTTTTATTTCCTTTCGTAGTAAAATATTACATTTCGATCCTAGGTATGTTGGAATATCAAATTTGTGCCCAATTTACTAGACAGAGATAAAGACATTATACAATCGGCTGTCTCTAATATTAATTAACAAAATGTAGATGAATTACAACGATATTTTAGATTTGATAAGACCCTAAATAGTAGGTATTTTGAATAGTTGTACATTTCAGAAGTCATTATATTAATTACAGATACATAAATTCATTCCCGAACTCTATATCAATAGATATTTCTATCTTTAAATTTATAAACTTATTAGGATAAAATATAGTTTTGTAAAAATTTTCTATCAAGACGAAAGCATTCGTTAAGAAATTAAGTCAATCACAAAGTCAATTTTGTAATTTATGATTCTGTCAAAAACATCATATTTTGTATATGAATTACGGCGTATTTAGAGTTCTAGAACGTAATGTATTATAGCCATTGCAGTTAACATAATTTATTTTACAATTACCACCGTGACCATCCGTTACTCTCGAAATTATTGAAAGAAACAATACCGCCAATACGTGGAGCGCTTCTAGAGAGTTACCCCGTTACTAGCCACAGGTGCTAACGGTAAACACTCGCCAAATTAGTTCGGAATTTATTCATTCCGTACGCATCTGACCTTGTTTTACTAGGTCAATTATTTGACCCACTTATTTAACCCATTCAAACAATTTTTAACTTGTATCGGGTAACAACATTTAACTGCCCACCAAGCTCTGACCAGCAACGGGTGAAAAGTTTTTGTTGTATAGACGTACCTGATAAAAAGGAGCTGGCAAAAGATTCATCCTGGGCGGTGGTGAAAGGCAGCGCCAGCAGGAAAAACACAGTGATCCCTGTCATGGTCACTCGCGTCAGGATATTGGCATGGCGTGCGGCCGCCGCGTCGCGTCCGATAGCACTAGTGAAAGAAAGAAAGGTGCCAGCGTCTGCGCATGACAAAGATTAAGATATGCACACGCAGAACTGCTAAGATATAATATTGTAGCTTAAATAACATTTCTTGTTTAAAACAGAACTCTCTGTTTTTTGTATAAATCTTTTTACAGACAGAAAGGTGATTACCAAGCACTGAACTTTTTTATTAATACTGTTTCCAGAAAATCTTAAAGGATCATAAATATATAAATATCCCTACTGTTCACTGAACTATGATCGCTAAAAAATAAATGTAAGTTAATAAGATTTATGAAGAAGTCAATGTAAGTTTTACCATTTATATCGAAAATACCTAATAGATACAGATTCATCTAACTCAGAGAATATCACATATATCGCAACATTCCTTGTTTTATATATGATTCTTAGAATTAAAAAAATGCTATTAATACATTACTAATTCCATTTACTTATTTTATTAGTAATTTCTCACGCAGTTATATGATTGCAATATCTGTTTTAATAGCTTCTATGTTAGTTAGCGTTTATGGGCATCTCGCCGCTCACTATATTACTTACGAATTTGTAATGAATGAATATAGCCATTGATTACTATCTAGATTACGATCAAGCCTTCCCATGGTTTTTATGTACGATGTACAAGTGTTGATGATATTGTCGTAAACTATAATTCTAGGTCGAACTTTTTTCTTGTATTGCATATAATATGTAGGTCTTGCGAGGGATATAATTTACATTGTATATTAAAAACACATTACTTGATTATGATATTTGTATAAACATATCTGTAAATAGGAATATAAGAAACATGATTTGAATCGAACCAACGACCGAATAAGTCATACATAACTTGAAACAATGTACAATCCATTGGAAAATCAAATTACCTAATGGTGTAAAAAATTGTAGTGTAAACAATTCTTACCGGTTTTGTTGTTTTAAGTTTTTGATACTATGACGTATCTGTGCAGTACTCAAGTGTATGTTTAATAGTATTCGTTTAGATTATATCAATATTATAAATTTAATATAAGACGTCTACAGATTATATAAACAATTAAATTCATTAAAGTTTCTTGAAAACTAGCTTTTGAATACTTTCTAATACATAATTCTAAACTTTCCATTAAAAATTTTAATCTTTCGCAGTCTTTTTGTTACACTTCGTGAGTCATAAATTTACATTTGCTTTATAATTTAAGATATATCTTAGATACTTATATCGTATAGCTAGGTACGTAATAGAATAATTTTGTTTAAATCTGTAAAAGATTTATAAAATTTTAATACAAGTGATAATCCTAGGATTATTTTACCTACTATAATCCAAGTCTAAGATAACATTATTAATTCTATGACAATTACTTTTCCAATTTGTTGCAAGACCTTACAGAAAGACAAATTTATGCTAGAGGGACAATCAGATTAGACAGGTTTGGAAAACCCCCTGTTATAACAGATAAAGAAGGAGCAAAAAAGCACCCAAGATTTTCTTACCATGTAACCAATAGTTCGAAAGATGTGGTGGTCCTGAAGTGGATGGATAATAAAAGTGTCATCTTAGCGTCCAATTTTGTTGGTGTTGGAGAGCAAGACGATGCTCGAAGATGGAATAAAGTCCTTGGATACTTTATTATAGTAGTATATACCAGTACCACGCTCTGAGCTAGTAAGATTATATAATAATTAATGAGAGGAGTAGATAAAACAGATCATCTAATAAGTCTGAACTGTATCTTTATTCGATCTAAAAAATGGACGCTTCGTATGATATTCCATGCCATCGATTTATCACTATCTAACAGTTGGTTGGAATATCAGGCAGACGGTTCCATCTGTAAGATACCTGAGAAAGATATTCTGGATTTACTCGGCAGTGCAGCAGATTCGCTGTTAAAAATGGGACAGCCACTAAACAACAGTAAGAGAAGTCGTCCATTATTAGGAAGTAGCAGCCCCACAAGCACTCCAACATCTACACAAACTCGACGACGTCAAGTTGAAGTGGGGCCAATACCTGAAGTTCACTGTTGATCATTTGCCAGAATACGATAAAAAAAGGAAGCTACTAGATGTAAAAAAGAATGCAAGGGCAAAACACATGTTTATTGCCTCAAATGCGGAATACATCTCTGCTTCACTAGTGACTGAAATTGTTTCCGTATTTTTCACCAAAAATCATGATTAAATTTATGTTAAGTGTGTTAGTAACAAAAAAAATTCCTTGATACATAGTTTTTTTTAATTCAATAACCTATCCATTGAGATAAAAGAGTAACATTCTAAATAAAAAACTTGATAACGGTTTGAAACGCGTTTAAATTATTTATGCTGACGCTATAAAATAATTTAAATGATTATATTTAATACACGTAAAAGACAATATAAGTAACGTTCTGTACTAAATTTAATATTAATTTAGTACTATAAATCCGAGTACACATCATTAAGAAACAACACTAAGAACCTGACGTCCATTTCAGTGGACATACAATTTTCTAAAAAACTATAAAAGGAAAATTATATATTTTTAACAAAATATGTTCTTTATTCTCTAATGAGCTAATAAAACATAAAAAATAATTTTTATATCGTCAATACTTAATGTAGGTCCGAAGGGGTTAAGCTGCAGTCGAAACTAGTTTTTGTTTTTATAATACTATTTTGTATTCTGACTTGAAGATTACTATACAACGTTACGACCAGAATTAAATCAGACAAAAAGTTGTTCTCAGAGGTATTAAAAGGCATATATATCATTAGTGCTGAAATTGATGAGTCTAGAAGAGTGAAGTAAATGTGAGGCACGGCACATACACTATTTCCAGCCATGTCTAAACATAAAAATTGTTCTGTGTATATGTCGCAGCCAACTAGCTTAATTAGCCGTTTAACAGCCTTGCCTTTTAACTTAACGGCGCCGGCATGAATGATGTTCAGCCTGTTGATCAAACAGCTAGGCAAATGACTTGGATCGATGACGTTTCTTGATAAGATTTATTTAAAATTCTCTTGAATTAAATCTTATCGAGTGTTGAGTTGTTATATTATGAAAACACTAACGTCACACGTCTTGCATCTATTGGGCCATGGGGCAGACATATGCCTATTTTAGGATTTTTTTAAAGAGTGCCTCTTAAAGCACATCCTGGATTCTTAAGACAAATAAAACTCCAATCAAAGTTTTCATAGTTTATTGGTATACTAAGATAAATATCGTTATTTGATAATAACATTTTGCCTAAATTAAGTCTACATAAAGCAATTTATCCTCGGTGGATCAAAACAATCATTATTTAAATTTATCTTTTTCATTTCATTATAATATTATTATCAAAAAATATACGGTCGAAATATCCCACAGTATGCAAGTTTCTGCTAATATTACTGAATGCAAAAAAATCGTAAAACACTAGCAAATAGAAATATAAGTCTGGGTTATTAAATATAGAAGTATATAAATTAATAATATTATTTTTAAAAATGATAAATTTTTTATGAATTGTGTTTAGTGAAATTATTAAAATGGAATAAAATAAAAGGAATGACAGTCAACTCAAGTGTAAACTTTTGCACGAAAAAAATATTTCGACCAAATAGTTCACAGCGTAATAATGATAGCCATACAATTGAAAATATATTTTTTATTGTTAATTTTACATGCCATCCAAATTTTTCCCTTTGAATACTTAAGGAAAGACGATCTTAGTAAGAAATGGTTAAAAAAAGGAACGTTTCGGTAAGTTTATTCTTAAAATGGTTAAGCTATTGATAAACATGAAATTAAATATTAAATTGTATTTGTATGTATCCAAGGAGTGATCGATTTGATGTCATACAGGAAAAAATCTGAAAAGTATTAACGTCTCTACATAATATTAATTATAATCTACAGTCTACACTCCTATAAAGTTTTACTGAAATCGATTCAGCCGGTTATATAATAACACCGTTTATAAAGTTAAATACAATTGAATTAACAATTAGTTCTTATTTATGAGCGGTGTGGTTTTCTTTACAGAGAGTGAGGGTAGTTTCGAAGGTTTCTTAAACGTCATAGATCGGTTCATGTTTTCCTTTTCTTGTGTTGTTTTCTGGAAAAAAAATTATTTATCTTTAAACGTATGTATATAGACAGAGGCAAATCCAATTTCACTTGAAAAGTACAAATTTCAGATAGATTAAGTAATTTATCATTTACTAAATATGATGTTAAAAAATTCCATAAAAATATTTCTTAAAAGTTTGTTTGATTCGAATGTTATTTTTAATTAGGTATCATGCTTGCAAAGTTATAAGAAATAATATAAAATTATACTAAATAAACACTTTTCTATGAAAAATTAAGTCTTGTTGCAGCGCATCAACTAAAGAATTCATTGTCTTCCAACACAATTAGGCAGAAAGAGACGAAAGAGTCATTTTGTCAAACAGATTCAGTTTTTATAAAAAGTAAATTTTTAAAGTTAGTATAAAAATCTTACTCGATTAGCAAAAATGTCGCTCTCAGACGTGCACTTAACAATAGGAGGCGGCTGAACGATGGGTGGAGATGGCGCTTGTATCACCAAGGCCGAGTCTTCGGATTCCGTTGACTCCGAATCACTCTGGAATACCAAATTAAATAAAAGGTTGATACAAAAATACAAAAGAGGAATTCGCATTAAGATTAATTATATTTTTATTTAGTATTGAAAATCTTAATATCGGATGTCTACATGTTTCACAGTTACTGCAGTAAGGATTATCCTTTACTTAAACAATTTATATGGTTTGACTTCCATATGTCAAAAATGTATTGGATTTTTAGTTGGCTCTGAATCTTACCTTAAGTCTATTGTCTGTAATATTACACACAAAGCAAGCTTTAGTCATAAAAATTAAAACATAAGAACCTTTCAGTGTTTCAGTTTTTCAAGAGATTTTATTTGAATCTGGCAATC